CATCATCTTCAGAGCAGGTGAGGCTGGCAGAACACAAATGTACAGTGATCCTTCAAGGTGTGTGATAGCACACATGCTTTCTCAGGCATTCCATTTCTACCCTGTCTGTTATTCAAAGTGCAGAGTGCATCTGGTTAATATATTGCTATTGCAGAAGATGCTGCTTGAACATTTTCCTTAGTAGATACCAAGCAAAGAAGTGGGGATGATAGCTCACATGCAATAATATACTTTAAAAAAAAACAAACCCCAAACTGTTCTGGATGTCATCTCTTTCAGTAGATGCAAATGTAGTCATGCATTAGCAGACATATAGACAGGAGATTTTGATTTAAAGTTAAGATGAAATAAGAAGTGGAAGTTAATTGAGAAAGCACTAATGAAATTTATACCTTCGAAGATACATTTTGGAAGTTCATGTTTCAGTCAAGACACTGAAAGTTTTTGATGTTGGCTGGCTGTTGTTTTTTCTATGTGTAATTTGTAAACCTTTTCTCTGGTGTTCCCTGTTGTAATAAATTTCATTATTTAAAAATAAAACTACAAACTAACACTGCTTGTTTTGTTACATATAATTTACTTAGCTAATTTCTTCATTTGTTAGCTGTTAACATATATTTTGTCTCAAGCTAAAAAGAAAGCTAAAACTCTCTTCTGTTCAAATATACTGCTTCTCTTATATTTTGGTGCTAGCTGGTTCACTTTTTTCAATGCTGTGTAATGCCACCCTGTTTCTTTATTTCTGTTTAGCATTATCTTGGGCAATACTATACATTTACACTGAGTGAGCTTTTGGTGTACTGCTCCTGTGTCCACAGCTTTTATAAGCCCTAGCTCTTGACATTGATGTGCAAAATATTATAGAAGCTAAGCATACAGCAAATTTTGAACATTAATAGAAAAAAGCTTTAATTGAGGTGAAACAGAACTGGCAGAGGATATTCATTCTAATACATGAGCGTTAAAAGATTGATTTCAGACAACATAAGTAAAGATGTGGTCTTCTTGACATGCTAATGTGAGTGAGGGAAGTGCACCCAGTGTAGCATGCACCTCGTTCACTGTTGAGCAGGGACCATTAGTCCCACCAAAGCAAGCTGCTGACAAAAAGGTTGTCCTCCTGAGCAGTCATGTTGAATTTGAGTTTTGAGGAATGAGCTTCCTTCCAGGCAGTTCCACATGTGCTCCTTTCTCCCATCACTGGGCCCTTTTGTTTTCAGAGGTCTCCTGTTAGTTTCCTAAAATGAGAACAGCTTGTCCTTGATATCTACAATGATTTATTTTTCTAAGCAATTAAATTTAATTTCTTAAAGCTATAGCAGCTCCTTCATTAAAGAGAATGAATCACTGAATAAAAAATGCAAAGGCTGAGAGTATGAAAGGCATGCTCAGGTTCCATTTGATTTCAAGGAAAGGCTGTAGGGCTGGAGGGAAGTAGGGCAGGATCAGTGCCTGAAATTGGGTTGGCTCCACGTGAAGCCCATTACAAAGATGGACCATTCCCCACAGCCGTCTTTAGAAAGCCTGAGCATCCTTTTCCCAAACAAGCAGCAAGCCTGAGGGGTTTGCATTACCAGCTTGTAGAAACAGATGCAAATGCAGGTATCCTGTGGCTTGCACACCTGCTGCTAAATATTTAAATGTGTTTGGAGATCATATAAATTTCTCAGCATTTTGCGAAGAGTTTTATCATTTAGAGCCCTTCTGTAATTTGAAAATCAGAGTTTTAATGCCCTGAAGTTAGTCTCATTTTTTTCCATTGGTAAATATGTCAGTACTATCAGATCTAAACTCAGTATTTTCTTTAATTATAAACATGCATTTCCAGATATAAGACAGAATTATTTTCAGATATTCACTTTTTATGTCATGCATAAAAATAGGGTTCCTAAAGCTGAAATGCTCTTCCGCATTTAGAAAGCTATGAAGGAAAGAAAAGACAAAGTTTTTTCTTTTCTAAACTGCAAATGTTACTATTATTTAATGTGATATCGTTTTCAGTTTAGTGACACCTAACTTTAAAATGCTTCCAGACTCTATTTTTTTTTATAGTACCATCAAGCTAATGAATGAGACCTTGTGTCTAAGACTTTCAGTGTTTCAATATAGCATTATTACAACATAGAATCAGCTAAGTTGGAAAAGACGTCTGAGATCATCAAGTCCAACCTTTACCCCAGGACTACCAAGACTACCACTAAATCATGTCACTAGGGGCCTCATCTACACATTTTCTGAACACTTCCAGGGACACTGATGCCACCACTTCCCTGGCCAGCCTGTTCCAATACCTGCTCACCCTCTCTGTGAAGAAATTTTTCCTAATATCCAATCTAAACCACCCTCTTGTGTGGACTGCTTCCCTACCACTAATGTGTTGAACTCTTCTGAAATGACTAAGTTAAGGTTAGCAAATTAGAAAATGAAATAAAGAATTTTAAAATCCTAGAATCATAGAATTGTTTGGGTTGGAAGGTACCTCAAAGATCTTCTAGTTCCAAACCTCTGCCATGGGCAGGGACACCTTCCATAGACCAGGTTGCTCCAAGCCCCATCCAACCTGGACTTGAACACTGCCAGGGATGGGGCAGCCACAGCTTCTCTGGGCAACCTGTGCCAGTGTCTCTCCACCCTCACAGTAAACAACTTAATCCTTCTATCTAATCTAAATCTATCCTTTTTCACTTTAAAGTAATTCCTCATTGTCCTATCCCTACATGCCCTTTTAAAAAGTTCCACTTCAGCTTTCTATCGCTTTAGGTACTGGAAGGTTGCTCTAAGGCCTCCCATGACCCTTTTCTTCTCCAGGCTGAACAAGCCAGGCTCTCTCAGCCTGTATTCATAGGAGAGGTGCTCCAGCCCCTGATCATCTTTGTGTCTCTCCCCTGGACTCATACGAGCAGGTCCATGTTCCTCTTGTGTTGGGGGTCGCAGAGCTGAATGCAGTACTGCAGGTGGGGTCTCAAGAGACCGGAGTAGAGGGACAGAATCACCTCCTGGGTAAACAGGTCTCCTATTTCCTGACGGAGAGAACCCACATTTTCCCTAGTCTTCTTTTTATCACAGATATATCTACAGAAGCTGTTCTTGTTGCCCTTGACATCTCTGGCCAGATTTACTTGTATCAGGGTTTAGTTTTCCTAACCTGATCCCTGGCTTCTCAGAAAATTTCTCTGTATTCCTCCCTATCCTAGCTTCCACCCTCCATAGGCTTCCTTCTTGTACTGGAGTTTGCCCATGAGCTCCTTGTTCATCCTTGTAGGCCTCCTGGTGTTTTTGCCTGACTTCCTCTTTGTTGGGATGCTTCTGAGCTTGGAGGAGGTGATCGTTGAATATTAATGAGCTTTCTTGGGCCCATCTTCCCTGCAGGGCTTTATCTCATGGTCCTTTACCAAGCAGATGCCTCAAGAGGCCAAAGTCTGCAAGTACTTATACCCCTGAAGTATAGGGTAAAGAGCTTGCTGTGTGCTCAATTCACTGCCCTAAGGATCTTGAACTCCACAATTCCATGGTCACTGCAGCCAAGGCTGCCCTTAAGCTTCATGTTCCCCACCAGCCACTCCTTGTTGGTGAGAAAAAGGCCCAGCACAGCCCCTTTCCTCTTTGGCTCCTCTGTCACTTGGAGAAGGAAGTTATCATCAGTGCATTCCAGGAACCTCCTGGATTCCTTATGCCCTGCTGTCTTGTCACTCCAACACATATTGGGGTGGTTGAAGTCTCTTTTGTGGACCAGGGCTTGTGAATGTGAGGCTGCTCCTATCTGTCTACAGAAGGGCCTCATTTGCTCAGTCTTCCTAGTCAGGCAGCGTGTAGTGGACCTCAATTGTATTGTCACCTGTCCCTGCTGTCTCATGAATCCTGACCTATAAGCTCTCTGTTGGCTTGTCATTCATCCCCAGGTGGAGCTCCATGCGTTCCAGCTGGTCATTCACATAAAAGGCAACACTTCCTCATCTCCTCTGTGTTTCCTTCCTGAAGAGCCTGTATCCTTCGATTTCAACACTTCAGTAATAGCATCCATCCTACCACATCTCCATTATGCCAGTAAGACCATAGCCCTGAAGGGTGTGCACATCTCTTAACTCCTCTTGTTTATTCCCCATGCTACATGTGTTTGTGTAGAGGCATTTAAATTGCACCCTCGATGAAGCTGACTTACTGGCAGGAGTGGTTGGAATTTCTTTGTGCTGGTCGTCAGATGCTCTCCTGCTGACCTTTGATCCCTTTATGGGCTCCTGGCATCTATTGCTGGCACTGGCATCAAACTGAGAGGAGTGGGATGGATTGATGTTCCCTTCCTCTGGCAACTTAGGTTAAAGCCCTCTTCACCAAAATGGGTGCTTTAGACTTCTGTATCCATGTGTAGGTTTTTATGTTCATGATCATGGCTTATAGCAGACACCATGAAACTGATGAAATGATGAATACCAAACATGGACATTGGTAGGATTTTACTATGATTTGCTGTTTTTCTAAGTACCAATGTAGCCTGTTGATGAGAAAATTTTTATGTCACTGCAAGATGCAGTCTCACACAAAGGCACATGATAAATAGCATCTTTGCAGCTTATTTTTCATGCAGAAATTTGCATGCTGCTTCAAAATACTTTGCATATATTTCCATTTATGTATCATTTTTAAAAGTGAGGAAGATGGCAGTATTTACCTATTGCCTCATTTATCATTCCACAAACATCGTTATTTTGGGTAGTTGTCAGGGGAACCACATGAAAGAAAATGAGGAGCAGGACAAAAGATACCAATACTAGCTGAATTTCTTCAGATTTGAAATGCTTCTTTAGACCAGGGTGATACCTGAATTGTTAAAATTATTTAGGAAGTGATGGGAATATTTGATGTTTTCATTAGTGTTTTTGGGTTTTTTTAATAAAATTTAAATGAAACTAACAGCAAAATAAGCTAGTAACAAGTAAAAAACAAAATTCTTCTAGTTACACCAAGTATGATTGACTGATGTGCTTTTCTTTTTTCCTCACTAGGATTACACTTTGACTATGTATTTTCAACAGTACTGGAGAGATAAGAGACTGGCTTACGCTGGTATACCTCTCAACCTCACGCTTGATAACCGAGTGGCAGATCAACTCTGGGTGCCCGACACTTATTTCTTAAATGACAAGAAATCATTTGTGCATGGTGTTACTGTGAAGAATCGAATGATTCGCCTTCACCCGGATGGAACAGTGCTTTACGGCCTCAGGTCTGTACTTCCATGATGAAGATTTTATCATTGTCATTATATATGATTGATAGTTGCTTCCTGGTACAAGGTTATTACAAACATTGGGTAGTGTGTTGTGTAACCTTCCACTGTAAGTCTGAAAGATGATTGTAGAAAATAAATGACACACTGGATGTTTCTTAATTTTGCCAAAAGTGCCTTCAGTCAGGTTTTATCTCTCTATGTAGAGTCACCGTATCTGGAAAGCCCGCTGGCTATAGGAAGCAGAACAGCACACATTAGTTGTAAACCTGAAAATTTTGTCCAAAGTGTAGGTGGTAAGACTGAATGTCAGTGCTTGTGTTGTCTCTTGATGTGCCTGTAGTCTATAAAGAAAAAGACACAGTCAGCGCTGGTTGAATGAATTCAGCCACAGTTAAGACCATGACTGTAGGTACTTCCATTTCCATCACTGGAAGTTTCTTGTATTTTTAAACATTGATAATACCCAAGATTGCTGCACAGAGGTACTGCTGCATAAAGAATCCCTAGTGTAAATATGAATGAGATCTGAAAAGTGATGCAGATGGATTATATGACTAGTATCATTATTTTACCTGCTTTTGTTTTTTATGAGCAGTGGCACTTCTGACCTGACCTGGATCTTGGGCCTTTACCTCTTTTCCTATTGCATATCATCCAATTATAACCTATAATTGGGTGAATCTTTCTAGACAAAATAAAAGTAGCCTCAGTCTATTATGAAACTTAAAAGAAGTTTAGGATGTTCTTGGAATTATTGTCTCTATAATTAACTAAGCTTAGCAAAAGGAGCCTTTCATCTCTCATCCTATTGACCCAGAATGGAACACTACAGATTCACAATTCTTTCCAAAGGTAGTTAAATGACAAAAAAAAGAAAGGAAAAATTTTCATTTCCATTATCTCAACAACCATCCCCACAAGCAGTGTAGCAGTGATGGAGATTAGAACTCTTATGATCATAATAACGTATAGAAGTCTTTCTGTTCCACTCTAAAAGACTTTGAAATCATTCAAGTGAGGATTATCTGCCATAAAACAGTGTATTTAAGTAAGTTATTTTCCTCTTCTTCACGATGTAAATGTCCACAAGCAGACTGCATTTCACTTCATATTATGTGCTTAATAGGGATTTCACCAGTGGTTCATGTGTGGCTCACTTCTATCCTTCCCTTTCTTCTGAAAGCTTGCAACATCCAGGGTCAGATACCCATGGTGTAATGCAGCCAAGTTATTTAGTGAAGGATAACTGCCTAAAATTAAATCTTGGCAAAATATAGGACACTGTGACCAGAAGGAAGTAAATATCTGAGCCTTAACTATGTTGATTTAGACTTTTGCTTTGTGTTGTTCTACTGCTAGCCTGTCTTCTTGTGTTGTGGTTTCAGAGCATCCTGATGGCATTGGCCTCAAGTTGTAGTCTGTAGGCACTGATTCATATTGTGGGCTGAGACAAGAACCTGAGTTTTATGTGCCACAAAACACAGGGTCACTGAGAATAATAGTGGAAATTTTGGAGGGTTACAACTGATTATGGAATATCCATGTTGCAAAGCAGTTGTGAAAGTGATCCTGAGGTCACAGTGTCTCTGTGTTCTCTAAGAGAGTGGGGAAATGGGACAGTAGCTTTTTGAAGTTCAACCCATTTCTGGGGATTTTTTCTGGGGGCCATGGCACTGAGTTTGTTCCACCTTGTTCAGAGCAATTTACAAGCATACAATGGTACAACAGCTTTTTTTTCTCATAGGAGACCAAAAAAGAAATAATGACATAGACTGGGGATCAAAAATAGAGTCTGACTGCTTGTGTGTTTGCCATATATAGATCTCATGTTCTCAGGAAGTACAATGCTAAATGTTAGAAATAAATAGAGTGGAGGAATATATGTATTTTGTCTGAAAGGACTTACGTAGTTATCACTCATAAATACAATGTGATGGATATTTGCAAGATGAAAAGGTTAGTTACAAATGGCCAGACAAGAAAACCACGCTTACTTCTGTTCTTTTTTGGATGAATATATTTCTGTGTCAAGATGAAAAGAGAATCAAATTAGCCATCAAGCCTGTGACGTAGTCACATAACAAGTATTTATATTGCTTAGACTGACTTATATTGTAAACTTTTGAGGGACAGAAAATATCCTTCTGTCAATTGTTTGTGCAGCACCTCCCAGCACATTCCATATGGGGTTCCTGTATAATATAGCAATATAATCAAAGGCAATCAGCCTGGTAATAAAGTAGTAGAGAAGGATTTTAAACAAGTAAAAATATTTCTTTTGTGTATTGCATTTACCCACAGTGTATGTGTATCTCTGTACTACTTTACCATTGTCTGCCTCATAATTGTTTCTCTGTCACTGCTGTGATGGTGAGTTCTTGAAACCTTGCAGTCCTGCTGTGTCAGGCAGCATCCCAGCCCATAAAACAATAAACCTGTTCTTCTTGGGAGTGCACACAAGCCTGAGCAGTTAGCATTTGCTTTCGGTGAGCATTTGTGTAAGTTAAATTTGGTTGCTTGAATGTTCATTCAGGAGGGACCTCTGAGCACTCAGCTTACTTTGAGTAAATGGGGTAAATATGTTTCTATCTATATCTAGCTGTACCTTCTTTTCTAGTGCATATTTATGAAATTAAAACCATACATTATGCTGTAGTCTAAAATTTTACTTGAGCAAGAATGTGTGTTTTCCAGTATTGGAACCCATGACACAGAGCAACTATGGTACGCTAAGAGGCCAAAATAAAGATACATTCCTTAAAAAGTCATAAGGCAATTAGTCAGTTGAATGCAAGTTTGCCAGCTGCATAATTTTTTATAATTCTGTCAAATTAATCAGTTGTAATTGCATATGTGCTCTATGTCTGGCATTTAAAGGTAGTTACACAGCATAATAGTAAAGATCCTGGTACCACACTCCCTCTTGTATCAACTTAGCTCATGTGGATTCTGCTGCACGATCTTAAATGAAACCTTGGTTAAGGGATTAAAGAGAAAGCTTCAAAACAGAGAATACACATGGACAAAGCTTTTAATATTGATAGTTCCAGCTTTTAGAGGTACATTTAAGGCATTTCCTCCTTGTCACCAGAATATTGTTTGTTTAGGAACTGTGTACAAGATCCATCTCTTGTTTATATCAGAAAAAGATCAGCAAGGAATGGACCTAGTCAGTCCCAGAAGATAATTTGTGAAATATATATGAAGCCATTATAAAGAAAATTATGCATAATAAAGTACATATTGATGAAGGTTGTGATTCAGCAAAACACTGAAATACGTTAGTACAGATATGTAAGTTCATTAATACATGTAAAAAAAAAGGTCCAATGTCATATGAAGCTGCTAATAGAACTATTTTGGTTGTGCATTTCCTTTTTTTACACCCCTGATATGCAAGAGCTTGATGGAAAATGCAGATGCATCAATAGTGAAATGTTCTGCAAATTCATCCTTAGTATGCTCAATTGCCTGCATTACAGATAAAGAAGCAAAAATATATTGTTATTTGGGGAGAAAATTTAAAATTCAATACAGTGCTTCATTACAAAATCCTCTTTAAATCTGAAGACTAGAGAAGTATACTCAACTTTGAAACAAAGTGTTTTGCTGAACTAAAGCATTTTGTCAGCATTTCAGTTTTTTTCTAGAGCTGTCACAAACCCAAGGAATCAGTTATTCATACAGCTCTAATCATTTTGACATTTGTAGCAGACTTTTTCGCTTCACATTTTCTGGTATATAGTCATATTTTTTAATCTCAGCAAATGTTTGTGTAAAACTTGCATATGTGGATACGTCCATTGAACCCCAAAGGGACTGGTTGCATAAGGGTAAGTCACAGTGAGTTGTTCATTGCAGTTACTGTAACTGCTGCTTTATTAAGCTGCTGCTCAGTGTAAAACTGTGGACCAGATCCTAAAATATTTTTAAGTTATTCTTCAGAGAGTCCTCACTTTGAAAAATAAATGACAACAGCAAAACCTGGATTACTGGCTGTGCAGTAATTCTGTTTGATGTTTGTATTTCAGAATCACAACCACTGCAGCTTGTATGATGGACTTGAGAAGATACCCATTAGATGAACAGAACTGTACTCTGGAAATAGAAAGCTGTATGTACATAAGGAAATGCATGTAAAACCTGGTTCAGATGTGGGGCAGTTTTCCTTTTATAGAACCGTGTACTATTCATACTGGTTATTTATAAGCAATATGTGAATCATGTAATTATCACCCTTTGGATTTTTTGCTTGCTTGTTTATTTGACTTTTTTTAAAAAATAAAAGGCGTCATCCATTTCTAGATGGATGGATACATCCTAGAAAAATGGATTTAGGACAATGAAGTAACTTATTACTCTAGTCTACTTGGCAGCGGCAGTGACTGGATACATCAACATAAGAGAATGAATGTTCATATTTCAATCAATCAGATTCATTTTCAAGAGAGAAAACACTGTGATACCATTTTCTTTTGGTATGCTTTATTACACACAGATAGATGGTCTTGACAGAGGAACTCCCCTTGGGCGTTCATATCTGCCCCACTTATGATTTGCAGTTGTGTTCCAAACAGAACCATATTCTCTTAAACACCAAGTCTTTTCCTAGGTTTGAAATATTCAGAGGTATACTTGTGCTTCAAGAGTTCCTGCTCCATTTCTGCTGCTGTCTGGGGACTGTAAGCCATATACAGAAAATACTAGTATATATTCTATATTCAGCTACAGTCCTCCACTATGGAAGATAATGGAAATGGTGAGACTCACAGTCTTTAGTGTGAGTGGAAAAGATCTGCCTCAATTATGTTTGTCTTTATTCATTGAACAGTCCACCTTCTTGTGATTATTAGCATAAATATACACTTCGTTTCAGTGCTAAATGTATATGAAAATCATGCAACTTTGCAAGTTATTGGGTAGCATTTTCCGTCTCCTTGTGGCCATTAATCTCTATGTGAATTTTATGAGTGTTACAAAAAAAAAAACAAACAGAAAACAACCCAGAATATATTGCCTCAAATTCTTGAGCAGACTGTAATAGCACAGATCTTCAGGAGAAAATAGAACAAAATACCACACAGGACTCCAGCTGTTCTGATGCTTTTCATTGTCTCAAATGACAAACTGCCTGTACTGTCTTTGAGGCTACCTTTGAGTCTGCTGTTGTTTCTGACTTACTATTCTGCTCTGCCTCCAGACGGCTACACAACTGATGACATAGAGTTCTACTGGAGAGGTGGAGATAATGCAGTCACTGGCGTGGAGAGGATTGAGCTTCCTCAGTTCTCCATTGTGGAATATAGACTGGTGTCAAAAAATGTTGTCTTTGCCACAGGCAAGTATTGTCATTTGCCCATTTACTGTTTGATTTCCTCGTGTATGACAACTACATTTTTATTGATCATAATTAATCATAATAACACATAGTCTGTGTTGTGTGTTTGGCTAAAGAAATTACTTACTTGATTATACCCGGAGGCAAGAGCCCATGAAATATAATTTCTTGTGTATTTCTCTTTTTCTTGTGTGTGTGTGATACTTAACCAGAGACCTAAATATCTATGATCTAAATGCATATGAAGTCATTCACCTCTGAATCGTAAGTTTTCATACAGGGTTACAGGGCATACATAACTGTGTTTTGGCATACTAGGTCAAAAAGCCACTATTTTTAGAAATACCTCCCTGCAGCTTTTCAGTGCATGTTTGTTTTTATTGTTGTATAGTGAATGTAATGTCTTTTGTATCTTGATTTGCACTGATGGGTATATATAGTACTATATACACAGCCAGTGCTTTTGTCATCATTGTAAAGATGCTAAAATTAAATCCCTGGTTTTCCTTCTTGTTTCCTTGAAGTTGTAATAAAAGTTACTGGTAGCTCACAGAATTAGATGTCTTTGGGTGACAAAGCACAGTACTGAATTTTATGTTTAATATTAGACAGCAGCATAGGAAAATATTGTTATGTGTGACAAGCAGCACAGAAAGCTATCAGCAAGTGTGGGGCTACTATTTGGGACCTCCAGATTTTCAGTGCTCTTCAGACCACAGGAGTGTGCTGTTCCACCTGTCTAGGTGCACTAGAACAAATGAAGCACAGCTCTATTATGTTTGTAAGCATCGCTTCACCCACTCTTTGGACACAGCATCTGTTTTGAAGTACACAGAAGCACAAGTTGTATTTCAGAACAAAATGTAAATATTGCTGAGATTGAAATTAATGTGAGGGGGGTTGCCAATTGCTGCTGTGCTTGTTTATCATTGTGAATGGAAGGGTTTTTTTCTACAACAAACCAGATACTCTAATCTTATATCCTTCCTTTCTGCAGCTAGTGTCACATTTGGCAGCCAGAGTTTACCTGCCCCTATGCAAGACTGGACCTGTTTTTGTAGGATGGCTCCTTTGGATAACAATGAGAATACAGAGAACTTAGTTGGGAAGTTTTTATGGCAGTCTTAAACCACCTTTCAGTTCAGTATGAAATATTTCAGTAAAGGCATGATTTAGTAATTTAGAGAGGAGAAAGATTTGCTAATTCAGGAAAAAAAGGAAATCCAAAGAGCTGTAAGATGAATATAAGAGAGAATGAAAACTAGGATTAGACATTATTATGACCAAAGTTTCAGAATCACAACAGTTCTTTCAAAAAAAAAAAAACGAAAACAACAAACAACCTTGTGGAAACAGTATAAGAGTTTCATGCTTCAGGGTTTAAGACAGTTTGACATTCAGGAGTAGGATGACACAGTCACAGGAAACAGATTACTCCATGTTTCTTGTACCATTTTCTGAAGCGTGTAATTTTTGTCACTGATGAAGACACAATACTGAATTTACTATTGTTTTGGTTCAGGACATTGTGAAAATGCTTGATTAATTATGAAGTTTTGTGACAAGTATTTCCATGCAGGGGAAACATCATTCCTTTTATTTTTTTTCCAAAAATCACATATTTGATTTCAAATCTGAAGCATGCTAGTGAATCTGGTTGATAAAGTCAACACAATCTCTTCAGATTTCATCTCAAGACCCTGCTTTATTATGGTCCTAGTAATTAGGGCCATTTTCTTCATTTCTGTAGAAAATAAGTCAGGCATGCTTTCTTTTTTATTTGGCTATGAGGTTATTGAATTCTTAAGGGAAGATATTAGTTCTTTGAGCACAACATCTCCGTGAACATTTCAGAGATTTCAGTACTAGTGTGCTTTGACTGTATAAAACTGAAAGAAGACTTCAGAGTCATGCCATAAACAGCCTTCGGAGTAGTTATTTCTCCTATCCTCTATGAGGATCAGTGCTGTATAATCTTGTGTAACTTATGCAAATGGGAAAATCTGTTCCCATAGTTACTACAGAGAAGCAACAGTAAGCATGGGAAAAACCCCATAGATAATGGCAGAAAGCTGTGCAGGGCTGCAAGAATACTGGAGGAAATGCATGCATGTTGAAACATAGCATTGGAGTTAAAAATTATCTTGCCAAATTGAGTCAAAATAGGTCTGTAAAGAAAATATAAAAATCAGTATGGACAAGTGCAAAATACATACAACTAATTATTCCTATCCATATTCAGGACAGGGAATACCAGGTTAGACCAGGCGTCTGTGTGTAGAAATCTAGGGCTGCTGTTGATCTCAGGCTGAATATGAGCCAATGTTCAAACATCTTCTGGGGAACAAGCAAAACAAAATTCATCCTATAAGGAATCTTACTTGCACTGCTAAGGCCTGAGCTGAATATCTGTGATCATGGGTACCGCTCTTCAAAACAGTTGTGGAGCAATAGAAGAGGGTCCAGGGAAAATCAGTAAGTAGGAGTTGAAGTCTAGAAAATGGAGTACCTGATATTACTGGAGAAACAGGTATGGTCATGTACGTTTAAAAAAAGAGAATACTTGGTGGTAATTAAATTCTTCAAATGTCTAGAATGTATGTGCAAGACACGGGCTTTAGCCTGTTCTCTTTATTCATGATGGAAAGAAGAGACAGTAGAAGTGAAATTTCTATGAAGAAGGAAAATTCTGCTTTGACTGTCTTTTTAACACAGCTGAAGTCCATACAGGCTGCCGTAAGACATCTGAAATGGCAATGGATGCCTGTGTGTCAATAACTAAATTAAGCCCACAGTCAAATAATATCAAATCAGTGCTGTCAATGGAGCCTAAAGAACAGTTCAGCTCTCAAATACCTGTATTCTGTCAATTGAATAGCTCTTAGGAAACTATTCAGTTGTCTAAACATAGGTATCTGGTGCCTCTTGATATGCTATAGAACATCCTGCTTAGCAATTAGGCTGGTGTTCCAGAGCCTTAGAATCATAGAATCATAGAATGTTTAGTGTTGGAAAGAACCTTAAGATCTACTTCCAACCCCATTGCCATGTGCAGAAATGCCTCACACTAGACCATGTTGCCCAAGGCTCTGTCCAACCTGGCCTTAAACACTGCCAGGGATGGAGCTTTTATCACTTCTTTGGGAGACCTGTTCCAGTGTCTCACCACCCTCACAGTAAAAAACTTCTTCCTTAAACCCAATCTGAACTTGTCCTGTTTAAGTTTGAACCTGTTACCCCTTGTCCTATTGCTACAGTCCCTAATGAAGAGTTCCTCCCCAGCAGCCAGGGATACAGCTGGCTTTCTAGGCTTCAAGCAAACACTGCCAGCTGTTTGTTTGCCAGCTTCAACCAACACCTCCAAGTCCTTCTCCACAGGGCTGCTCTGAATTTCTTCTCTGCCAAACCTGTAGTGGTGTCTGGGATTGCCCTGACCCAGGTGTAGGAGCTTGCACTTGGCATAGTTGAACTTCCTGAGGCTGGCATTGGCCCACCTCACAAGCGTGTCAAGGTACCTCTGGATAGCATCCTTTCCCTCCAGCATATCAGATGAACCACGTAATTTAGAGTCATCGGCAAACTTGCTGAGAGTGCACTCAATCCTACTGTCCATGTCACCGACAAAGATGTTGAATAGGATTGATCCCAACACCAACCCCTGAGGGACACCACTCATTACTGGTCTCCAGCTGGACACTGAGCTGTTGACTGCAACTCTACATGTGGCCATCCAGCCAATCCATTAAATTGATGTCTGCAACATCAAAACTGATTGTTCCAGCTGGGAGAAACAGCAAGATGTCAAGTGCCTTCAGCTGAATAGTAATTGCCCTCAGTGCTTTTTCTTGTTGACAAAAATCCTAGAAATACTGAGGAAGCTAGATTCCTGGTGCACCTCCCTCAGTTTTCCCATGCAAAGAATGCCTTGTCCTTTCCAAAATACTGGGTGCCAAACCTCCGCACATCATGCAGGCTATTGCCCTGGGACATGCCCAGGATTTCTTTGAATGTGTCTCAAGATTTTTATCATCTTCCATCCATCAAATTGATGAGTGGTCCGTCCATCAAACTGATGTCTCTCCAGTTTACAGACAAGGATGTCATGCAGGAGAGTGTCAAATACTTTGCACGAGTCCAGGTAGATAATATCAAGTGCTTTGCTCCTATTCATCAGTTCTGTAGCCCCATCATAGAATGACACCAAATTGCTCAGCCATGATCTGAGCTTGGCGAAGCCATGCTGGCTGTCACCAAGCACTTTGTTGTGTTTTATGTGCTTTAGCATGGTTTCCAGGAGAATCTGCTCCAAGATTTTGCCAGGCACAGAGGTGAGACTGCCTGGTCCATAGTTCACCAGGTCTTCCATTCTTCCCTTCTTAAACACAGGGGTTATGTTTCCCTTTTTCCAGTCATCCAGAACTTTGCCTGACTGCCATGATTTTTCAAATATGATGGACAGTGGCTTAGCAAATTCATCCACCAGCTCCCTCAGGACCTGCAGATGGATTTCATCAGGTTCCATGGTAGTTTCTTGTGTCCTATGTGACAATACAGTGCTTCAGTATTAACTACTTAACTGGTATTAAGTTCTACTCTTCAATAGCCTAATGCATCTCAAATAGCATTAGACACTTCTAATTTGATTGCCTGTATAGGTAATTAAATCACGCCCTTAGAATCAGCTGCCTCTAAGTCTAGCTCTCCTGATCTCTAGACACCAAGAGCTTATGTGCCATCCATATGTAAATATCTACATGGAAACCCCTGAAATTTAGAGCCTAGACCTGTGAGCTGAATCCACCGCCTAAATGTTGGTTATCCACAAATGCAAAGAAACTGAACAGGAATAGGGATGTGTAAAACACCACCTAAAAGCTTCAAGATGCGTAGCAGTCAGAGCCAGACTAGCAACCTGTTGGTAAGAGAAGGATAGTCCTAAAAGATTTGAAAATTAATTATTTGCTGTATTCTGAAAGATCAATCTGTAAAGTACATTTCCAATTAGTGGAAGAACCTTCCCAAAAGAACAGATTAAAGTAAGAATTCTGTAACTGACCAACTCTGTTATCTTGGTTCTTGAACAAAATAACAAGAGACTAATTTAGCCTTGGAGCTATATACTTCAGCTTGCCAGCTTTTGATGAAAATGAAAGAGAAACAAGTAATTACTTTTTACCAAGTGCCCAAATATATGAAAGAGGAATATTTTCAGCTCAGTTATTGATTATTTTCTTTTTCATGCCTGAATTCTCAACGCTGTTTTTCGATTTAAATACTTCAGGCTAAATTCTATTGTTCCTGTACTATTTAAATTAGCCCATGGACATAAATATGTTACATGAGATGGGAGAAAGGGTAACAAATCTGGTCCTTGAACAGCAACACTGTTCTTTATGAAAAAAAAAAAAAAATTGATGGAAAATTAACAACTAGAATTTCCTGGTAACTAATCTCTAAATGTACTGAGCCTTAATTGACAAATCATTATCCAAGAATAATCAGGAAAGTAACAGTGTAATTGTTGAGCTCACCAAGAAATCCATTTTTATTAAATATATTACACAAGATGGTTTCTTCTTCGATCAGAAAAGATCTGGGCTTACATGCAGATTGTTCCATGCAGGTTAGGACCCATCCTTTTCACTGAGTTTTAGCCATGCAAAGGGAAAACAAGGCAAAAAAAGGAATGTTCCTTCTTTTAATTCTTTGTTTTCCACAGATTCCCGTGGTCTGTTTGCTGAAGGTGAGATATTACAGCAGAGATAGCAGGCTGGAGGTAGGGCCAATAGATCATCTGTGAAGACATAAAACCCATACAGCTGAAAGTAATAAAAACTTCTGTAGTCTCATGGAGAGCTACCTAAAGGAGAAATCTGGCTGCATAGTATGAAAACACAAGGCTACCAGTTCATGTTTCAGTTTCAACCTGAACTATATGAACACTGAATTATTCTGAAATTCCAGAGATCCAGACCTCCCAACAAAATTTGAGCTTGGAAAATCACCATGAAACAGGATGACATTCTGTTTACCATTATAAAACTGAACAATGTGTCAACTAAGTATCTGTAATGCCAGTAAAAGCTTTTGTTAGATTGCCCAGGAGCCACAGACCCTCAAAACCTACGCTGAGACTTGCAGGGCTGGTATTCATCTTGTTCTGGTTTAAGATGAATATAATTTCAGTGTCTGCATATGAACTAGGTGTCTTAGTTGTTGGGAATCTAGTCAATAGAGTTGGTGGAGTCGGGAGACAAATTCAGTTGACCCATAGGAATCTATTTTAGGAGGAGATGGATAATTGTCTAAGTTTCATTTACTAGATTGACTAGATTAACTGACTTTCCTGGAAATGTAATGAGAGCTTAGATACCTCGCTCATTTATATGCAGTTCAGGTGAGCCGCTTAATCAGCTGCTACTTGAGATGGCATAGGGCAGCCTTCTTAGTTTCTAGCTGCTAATCAAAAAGGTGCAGGAGCCACATCATATCCACCAGCTACATGATCGTGTCTGAGATGTTGTAGGGGATATCAAAAGAAATAGTGCACCTTCAGATTCACAATTGAATCTCTCTGTTTCAGTTCAGGTCCAGCTCTAGAGCAGTCAGACAGCACTGACAGTCCTGGCCCCATGTATGGTTCTTAGGGTTCTGTCTTCTTGCTTCAGGACAAAGAACCTGGTGCTTGAAGCAACTTTATGCTGACATCCTTGGCTTTGAGACACTGTCTGGGGAGTCCACCTTTAAGTCCAGATTCCACTAATTTCAATAACTATCTTGTCTCATTAGATAGAGATAATGGGTGATGCTCACAGGTGAATCATCCAGGATAAATATCTAAAGTTTGCTCTGTCATAGTATTTCTCAGTTAAGGATTTCAGTACTGAACATGACTGACATACATGACACACTATGTCTCTCCACTGTTGACACATTATCATCTCCTCCATCCACACAATTTTCCCTGCTTTTTCAATAGCACCAAGTCCCCTCTTCTTTCTCTGAGGTTCCCCAGTGTGTCCAGGGTCCTCAGCACTGGAGTGGCCCAAGAAGAGGCTTTGATTCAGTGATTCAATTCCGCTGAACCTTATTGAGTGAATCCTTTAGGGTATTTATCAAAGAATCAGTATTTTATGGGAGATTTTCCAGTCATCACCTCTATCAGTGATATTCCAGCCACCCAGACCTGGACAGGACTTTTGGAAAGGAACTGCTCTGTAGAGAATTCTTTGAGTGGGTGCTGTATTATATGAAATAATTTTCCTCAATAGAGCTTTATAAAAATTTATACTCCCTAATTTATACTATGCACTACTCTTACTGTAGAAAGGTGATCAGGTCTGCTATGTTTTTAATGTGTTTCATGATGGCAGGGTGTGTTTCTGTTTTATTTACATAGTCTGCAGACACAAGGGCTCAGAAGCCATTTCATAAGAAGCTCCATGGAAAAGTTAAGCTTTCCTAACAAAAAACAAGGCATAGTTTAAAAGAGAGAATTGGTCTTTTGAAATGAAGCATTGTTCATTGGAAAACAAAGATGCTAAGCAAACTAAAGCTTAAATGTTTCTTTGCTAAAAATTATACTTACTGCTTCAGACAGCAGAAAACCCGGGTCTGATTTTCATGATAAAATAAATCAGTATGATTCCACCAAGATTCATCTTTTAGTGAAACTAGAAGGCATTTCATCCTGGAAAAAAAAATTACTACTGATTGAAGTAATCACAGCAAACAAATATAGCTACCAGATATTTCTTCTTCTAATGGTAGTTCTTCTGAGATTTTTTGATAAAACAATTAAGGATAGTTGCATACAGCTTGATACTGCCTGGATGCTTCTGATTCCTGGAAATGGTGTAGAATTTTTTCTGTCATATGACTCAAAGTATACCGAACTATCAAGAATGTGATGAAGAGAAATCTGCAGTTTTCTATTCCTTCTTTCACTTTCTGTCTCAGGAAATCCATCATTCTTGTGTATATGGGCAAATGTAATTTCTAATGCTTATATGCAAACATATAAACATAATTTAAGGGAAGATTTTAATGTTTTTACATGTAATCTCTCATATTTTGCACGTATTTGCATTAGAATGGGTGAGATGTAGTCTAATATATATATACGCGCGTCCTCAATATGTGCAGAAATGTTTTTTAGGATGTTGATTTAACTAGAGCTTTTAGATGAGCTATTAAAAGTATCATATGTAAGACTAGTAAAGCAAACACTGAAATCATAGAGCTAATGTTGTGAGAATGACTACATTTTTCCTGTACAGCTGTACTCAGACTTAATCCTCTTTGGTGAAAAAAGGCACAATTTTTTTTAAACTGTTTGAGATTTCTAAATATATAAAATACATTCAGTTAAGATTAACACTGATTTTGAAACACACCAATTTGAAGTTAAATGTTTTTTTTAAAACACTAAAATTGAAGTTCTTAATTTTTTTCATTATTTATGTGTTCCAGTTGTAACGATTCATGAATCTGTATGTATACTGTATGCATGTATACACACATATAAAATAATCCTTTTTTGCTTAAATATTTTTGGAAGAAATATTCTGTCCTGTTCTAATTGAGTTAGAGGATCTGGTCTGTCTGTTAGAGGCATTTCTTTACCGGGATTCATTGCAATTTGTTTTTGACACCACAGGTAGAATGTTTCTCATAGTTCAAATGTAATTAAGAAGTACCATCTCATGAACAGCTCTTCCCTGTAAATAAATAACTGTGCACATTATTAACCTCAGTATAAATACTATACATAAAACTGAATATTTGAATAATCATTTTACTTGGAGACCTAAGCATCTGGTTTTAAAAACTAACTGGTGCTCACCCATCTGTTTAATAATCTAGAATAATTTACCATTTTTCTCTCTTTGCTTCTCAAATACAAATTGTTTGCATGTTATCATATTCACTGCACAGTTTCCTATAATACCAACCAGTAATCTAGCGAAGGCATTTTCCCTACTGTTGTGCAGATGTCATATTACCCCATAAAACGTGTGTGCTTTAGTTTCAACAGAAACTGAAGACAAATATCTGCAAGTGTCTTCTCTTCAGTATAAATAACATTGTTTTCCCCTCCCTTTCCTCAGGTGCCTACCCAAGACTCTCACTGAGCTTCAGGTTGAAGAGAAATATTGGATACTTTATTCTTCAAACCTACATGCCCTCCATACTGATTACCATTTTATCATGGGTGTCATTCTGGATCAATTATGATGCATCAGCAGCAAGAGTTGCCCTTGGTATGTGCTAAGAATGAATAGAGCATTAAAATTTCAGACTGAATGTAGCCTTTGGAGGTCATTAAAAGACTTCAATGTGATGTCAGCATTTTGATAATCCTAAATTTCCATCAAAATCATATCACTCAGTATTGCCTCAAAGGTGATAAGGTTTCCCCTTCATGTAAGAATGTAGCTACCACTAAATCTCAACATGAGCCGCTCATACAGATCTTAGCCCTTGTTCTTATCAAAGTTAATGTTGTCAGTAGCTTCAGAAAGGAGACCAGCTTCAGAATCATACTCCAAGTTCTTGAGTGTGGGCTTTTAATCCAGTTTACTGTGGGAAGATAAGTATAGCTCCAGGCCTCCTCCTGAGGTTCTGGGACTTTAACTGACAGTGGCAGGAACAGGTCTCAAGAACCATGTACTAGTTCAGAGCACAGGGGCACATCAGCTACAGGCCATTACATCCTGCTTAACCCTCAAAATGCACAGTGTTCTAAGTGCATTTTAAGTGCAGTTTAAAGTGTTGTTTAACTCACAGCAGAAAATATTAGATTTGGCACATGTTGGTGATCCCTGTCCAAGACCTATTGAGATCAAAATATCCTTTAGATAACAGAAGGTGGCTTCAGAATGGTGCAGTGCAGTAGATACCCTGGAGGGAAGGAATGCCATCCAGGAGGACCTTGACAGGCTCAAGAGGTGGGCCTGTGAGAACCTCATGAAATTCAGTAAGGCCAGCTGCAAGGTCCTGCAGCTGGGTGGGGCAATCCCAAGCACAAATACACTCTGGGTAGGGAATGGATTGAGAGCAGCCCTGAGGAAAAAGTTTTTGGGGTGTTGGATGGGGCTTTGAGCAACCTGGTCTAATGGAAAGTGTACTTGCCCATGGCAGGTGGGTTCGAAGTAGGTGATCTTTAAGATTCCTTCCAACCCAAAACATTCTATGATTCTATGAAAATATTTCACAGGAAATACTTCATCTATTACAGAATCATAGCCACAGATAGTTATGGACAAGGAAGATGAAATGGAGCCATAAATCCTTATGGCTACGGCTGCCTATCGTCTCATCCTGAATCCTGACTTCAACTCTGTGCTTCCCAATAGCAGATACCTTCCTACCCTAAACCTGTCTCTAAGACTATTCTGTATAACTTCCTGCTGTAATCTCTTCCCTTCTTAAAGCACGAACATATTCCCTAGTTCTCTTATTTTTATGATATGTACTACAGCAAACCGGGACTGCAACCCATGTCCATATGATTCCCTACCTCTGTACCCTGTACCTCCCAAGGTTCCACATACTAAAGAAGGCTGGTCAGCCACAGCTATACATTTGTGCAATATTGCCTTACTAGCACCTGAACTTGGGTAACTGGAGATACAGTAGATTAACTGCAGTTTCTGTACAGTAATTGTACAGATACTGTAGATTAGCTGGTGCATACGGGTATGACACAATCTGGCATTGCCACTGAGCAGCTAGTGCATGCTCAGCAGGTTGCAAATAAGTAGTAGCTGAACAGGAGGTGGAACATAGAGTCCAAACAGCTGTGACGTATTCAGAAATTAGCTACTGCATTTCAAAGGTCCACCCTGGAGATATGATTGAGTGAAGGGAGAACTTCAAACATATCAGTCAGCATCTAGATTTTACATACCAGCCAGGACTAAAGAGAATAGGTGGTTAGACAAAGTCACCAAATCTAGTGATATTCTTTTCCCTTCTATGATGGATTCACATGTTTTTTGTTATTTAACAGGACTGTCTCATGTGGTCTATTTCTCTGTAACACAAGTTTATCAAGTGCTGTACTGTGATAACACAAATATTAGAATAAAAGTCAGAGAGAACATTGAAGGCAAGCCCAGGAGCCCAGATGTTCTATTACAAATTGATAGTCCTTTTGACAGGACAAAAATACATCTCATAGATTCTTCTGAGAAAACAATTAGTGCCTTGGTGATAACGTCTGTGATGCTTGTATAATAAAGTTCAGTATCATGGGTCTAATCCTATGTTCCTTTGTGTAGCCCCTCTTATGAGCCAGGAGCTGATCTGAAATGGTAGCAAAGTTTAAAGGCAATATAGCACCTTTAGAGTTATGTATCTGACTGAAAAGTGCAGTACAGAGGAGGGTAAGGCCTGCTGGTCTGAGTATTTGTTAGAGGAAGGATTCTTTGTGCAATTCTTAGGGATGCGGAGACAAACTTACTTAACCCATACAGGAAGCCTGTGTTCTCTACAACATCCTAATTCTAGTTGATTCACTTCTACATTTTGTGCCTATCCCTTTTCCTTTGCTGCATATGCCACCTGTGCTCCAGCTTGCACTGAACCCAGTAGTTGCCTCAATGGAGGAATCCATGCATGGAGCAAACACCAGCTCATTGCAGAGATTCTGTACTATGGACAACTGCAGACAGGGGCTGATACAGGGCTGTTCTCAGGAGAAATATTCAAACCCATCAGTTCTGCTCAGTACTGAGGTTTTGCTAGTTAGTCCTAGAAATTTCCAAAATTCAGTCTTTTGAGTGAGGGGAAAAATAACCTTGAGAGTTCTCGCTCTTGGGAACAGCTGTAATCACAAGATTATCCTGTTTCTATATAACAGGTGAGTGTCAGCTACTTCTCCAACTGTGCTTTAAAATAAATTATTGATTGTCGGAAGGGCATCTGCGTGCAGGATGCCAGGGTTTCCCATGAGATGTCTTTCTTTGTGGTTAGTGATAGCCACCTTTCTATTCAGTGTGCTTAATCTTCTGGATCTCCAAACATCTGACATCAACACACACTTGTTTCACACTTTAGAGGAAAAGCACTGAAAAACCGCATGACACTGACCTACTAAATATACAAGATATCTGTTACAGAACCTTATAGGCTACTACTGCAGTTCCCTGGAGTGACACTGTTTACACTGACAGCTTGATTTTGAGTTATATTGTCTTTGTTTCTGTTTCTTCAGATAAAAGAAGCTGTGCTTTATAATATGGCAGCAATTTTCTTTTGTCCTTTATTTTTGTACTGCCTGCAATTTAGTGACTACTTACAAACTGATGGTATAATTATGAAATCAGAGAAAACAGCAATGGAGGGGACTTATTAGAATGTCTTGCCTTGCAATGTAGACTTATTCTATGAATCATTGTTTTCAGCCACTTGTGATTTGTAGTTCCCATAAAATTTCCAGCAGAGATACAGACCATGTAGTTTATTGTGAATTCAAGCAGACTGATAGTAAATTTGCTTTTCTTACCAGCTTTTCAAAACAGTGCTCCGTAATATATTTTCAGTTGCTATGTCCATCCTTAGGTAAATAAATGAGGGTTTGACATACCTTATAGATTTTTCTAGGTACTTTACTAGTGTTCAGTCAATCACCATAAAAATGCTGCTCTCCCCCCTTAGCTTTTTCATTGCACAAATCCACATACCTGTCTGCCTCTCACTGCTCATCTCACTTCTTTCTATGTAAAAATTAGAGTACTGCTCTAAACTAGTCATCTCCAAGTCTCTCTTCTATATTGACCTTTCCTTGAAATAGGTGTCTAAAATAGGTGGGATGAACTGCTCAAGAAGGGTGCCTGTCTCTCAACATTTGCTACAGGACTAACTTCAACCAGCTGTTTTAACTGCTGAAATTTAAAACTGCATGGGAAGAGTCTTTCACCATCTATATGAACACTCATTCTGTTGCATATCAGTTTGGCCTGATCTCTGAGGAATGGATCATCAGTACAGCTACATTGGCTTCCATGAACCTACATTAACTCATGGCAGTGGTGCCAGACCCTTTGGTAGCTGTTCCCCCAATCATGTGAAGAAAATACTGTAACAAAATAATAATGCATCAAGCTTTCATTTTGCTTTGATTTGCAGTGATGTCACCAGTAAGATATCTTTGAGAAATTTTTAAGCTTCTTCACACTGACAAGGCAGATTTGCCAAAAGGGAAAATAAAATTGAAATGTGGTGTGCCTGGAGTTGTAAGATATGTGCTCTTTTTCTTTGTGTAGGAATTACAACTGTGCTGACTATGACAACAATCAACACTCATCTGCGAGAGACTTTGCCTAAAATTCCGTATGTTAAAGCCATCGACATGTATCTCATGGGCTGCTTTGTATTTGTCTTCTTGGCCTTACTTGAATATGCCTTTGTCAACTACATTTTCTTTGGAAAAGGCCCACAAAGGCAGAAAAAACTTGCAGAAAAAACAGCAAAGGCAAACAACGATCGCTCAAAGTTTGAAGGCAACCGGGTAAGATTCTTTAATCTATATATATATATGCTCTCTATTCTTTTATTACAAAAGTATCTGTTTGAAACAAAAAAACCTTGTGTAAAAACATCACCAACCACATCATCTTTTTGTGGACAAACTTGGGCATTTTTATATTCAAGAACCTACTCAGAAGAATATATTTTTAGGCATACAGAAATCGAAGGAGTCTGACAAGTAATTGTAAGAAGAAGAAAACAATGGGAGTGCAGCTAGCTTGAATATAAAGGCTCAGATCCACAAAGGCATTTATTTTTCTAAATCCAATATAATTTAGCTGTGATTTTGTTTAAGTATATACATAAGGCAACCCAGGATCTGAGCATACTTTTTCTCACTTCAATTACAGCAGATGCATTTAGAACGGGAGAGAACAGATAAAGGATTAGTTCTGCCATGCTAATTAATTGGCCAGCATAGCTGAAACGCAGTGTGTGGCATTGTCATGTGCTGCTGTTTAAGACCAGCAGAAAATTATGATTCCTAGAGAAACTTTTGGGTTTACTTTTGAAGCAAATATTAGCATGGTCTGTGCTGATTACATTCAAGCCTATTCCCTTGCCTAGAGTATTACTTCATCCAATGAATGCCCTTTTTTTTCCCTTTGGAAGAGACATTCAAGGTATTTAACATTATATGATATTAGCAAACCATGTCAGTTTGAATAGAACATGGGGGTTTCTTTTTTTTTTGGCTAAAATGCTTCCAGGGAGGTTTCTTCATTCAGTTGCATTGAGTAAGATTGTTTTTAATATGACCTATAAATTAGAAGAGTTCACAGTGAAAGAACTACTAATTGTTTATAAAATACCAGTATCATAAAAGTAATTTCAAGCTGTATGTTTTGATCCTAATGATTCTGTCTGCTATAGTAAATGTAGTGCAGAGCTGCACCAAATTATTGACATTCATATCTGGAATTTTTTAATCGATAAACTCATTTTTGTCCACTGTATTATGAAACCAAATTCTCATCACAGTTGGTAACACTGCTTAGGACTAAGCTAGCAAGAAGAATGAATTCCCTTTCCTTGAAAAATAAATAGTCATAATAATAAAAAAAGCAGATGGGGAAAAAAAAAAGAGTATCAAGAGAATTAAGAGATTTGAAAGAAATTGAGAAGATTTTAGCTACAAGAGTGTAATGCAGATGTATGCACTGATGTTCAGTTCTCCCAATGGAAACCATCTGGTCAATCTTGTCCATTTAAATGATTTACATAATTCAGTGCAAGTCTTGTTAACGGGCCCAACAGCACCCTGTGCCTGACTGTTTTTCCATCTTAAGACCAATTGGTCTATATTGTTAAAAGAAGTATAAGTATCTTAACATAAAAAAATAGAGTTTCATACATAGATCATGCCATTTTTATATCCCAGATTTATATCAACCTTTTTTTGTTCACTTCTGAATTGCAGCCCTTAACAATCTTTTCTTTCTGGACTATCCTAAGCAAATACCATGGACTGTTCTGATTTTTCTGCTGTTTTAATATCAACCATACATGAAACAAATTAGGAAAGAGATTCAGCACACCAGAGCTGGAAGAAGAGTTTGTTACTTGTTTGCCTTGGAGTCCCAGCTGTGAAAGGGAACTCTGTATGCTTTGTGGCAATGTATGTATTCATACTGACTATGAATATGTGCTGTTTAGGTGACATAGGATAAATAAAGAGGTATGATACCATTCTGTGTAGAAAACATTTTGTCTCCAGGCCTCAGCTGGTGAAGTCAATACAGCTTCATTGCAGTTACTGGATTCAGTGCTTTCAGAGAAGCAGTGCCAGCATACAACAGGAAAAGGCAGGAACATCAGGTACAGCTGATCAGAAATCTTCCTTTGAAAAAAAACCATAGAAAATGTAGATTCAGTGGATGTAGGATGTTAAATCTGAACTTCTCATTTTAGAAAGCCTGTCTAATGCAAAGCAGAAGGAATTTATCAGAGCACGTAAGAGGTCCCATTGCTTTCAGGATGAGCAGCTCAGGGAAAATCCATCTAGCAGATCTACATAGGACAGAGTTTATCAGGGCTTCCAGACACCACAGCCCTGATGCAGGAAAATGGTTCCCATGGTAAGGCACTGGAAGAGGTTGCCCAAAGAAAATGATAAATACTCCATCCCTGGCAGCGTTCAAGGCCAGGTTGGACAAAGCCTTGTGTGACATGGTCTAGGGTGAGGCGTCCCTGCAGATGGCAGGGGTGTTGGAGCTAGATGATCTTAAGGTCCTTTCCAACCCAAACCATTCTATGATTCTGTGATTCTATGTCCACTATTCTGTACAGATACCCTTAAATACAGCAGGAGAGGTGGTCATGCCACAGTTTTTAACATACTTGCCCTGGAAGACAATATTTGAAAGCTCTGCAAGGTTTGCTCTGACCTCTTCAAGGCAGCAAAGAGGCATTAACTTCCAACCTCTCCTTTGGTGCCCTTGAAGATCATTGAGTCTGATGGAAATAATGGCTGGTTGGCAGTTTTGCTTCTTGTTTTAGAGTTTGGACTCAGGGGCTGAATGTCCTGGGAGAGGCTCATAAACTGGAGGGAGGGCACACTGCATAGCAAGGAATGCTTAGAGCCATGAAGACAGCTTTGCACAAGTTCAAGAAAATTATAGTTTTTGTGATTTCGGTGAGGCTTTGGGCTTTCATGGAGTGTATATCCATTCAGAACAGGAAGACTTCTAATCCTGGGAAATATTTCAAATCTCACATGATCTGCGGCTGACCAGCATTTTGAAAGAAAGGGAGAATGCCTAAAATCAGGCAGCCTCCTCTGCAGCTATCATCAGCACTATTTGATGACTATCAAAATGTGCTGTGCTAGAAAGAAGATTGAAAAGGGTTCAAATATAAAACTGGAAGAAGGCATTATTTTTAGTCTGTCTTGAAGACTACCATTTTGGGTTGATTTGTGTTGCTGTTTTGTTTGAGTAACTGATTTTTTTGTATATGAAATATGTGCATGGTCTGCCTGTCACTGATTGAGGGTGCTAGCTCAGGGCACTAGCAAAAAAAACCAGACTAAACCAAATAAATAAATAAACATTAGACCATTTGTTGTCCACATCAGCTGCTGTAACTTGTGGGTGTTGTGATAGAACTGTGAACTGTGCTGTATCAAGTCCAACCTGAGTCAAGAGGGGCAGCAGTGCTGTGGAAATCCCTTGTTTGTGTTGGGAGGCAGCACAGCATACTGCCTTATGCGCAGGCCCTGAGTTCAAGCATTGCTCTTGCAGTATAAGAGACTGGGAGTACTGCTGAGGCAGTGTCTGTCTCTCAAGCAAAGGCAGCAAGAGAAGGATGAGGGAAAATGCCACATTATTTTCACACAGGAGGATTTTAGTTCATGGAAACTGGTATTGTAGTTCACTTTTTGCATGTCAGAGAGGACTGAAGTCTGGAATACAAGCTAGCAGGCTTGGTTATAAATACTGTTTCTGTAGTAGCAAAAGCTTTTTACACTTTCTTAGTCTTATTTGGTTGTAGAGCAGGAGAATCTTAGTAACAAAGATGTTCTAGGCCACAGAATCCACAGATGTGGATATGTTTGTGTTTTATTTGATAACTGCAAACAGACAGTTGATGCTCAGTAACTCTGCTTCCTATCACATGCATTTGCATTGTCCCGCATCAGAGGTTATGGGTTTGAAAAGCCAAAACTGGTACAACCATCTCCATGTTGCTGCTGCTGCTATGAACATGCCTCTCCAGTGCCAAGCTTTTAGGCACTTCACTCTGAGTTATTACTGATCCACTGCCACTGAGGCTTGCTGTGTTGAGGAATGCTCCACCACCAGCTGCTGCTGCTGCTGCTGCTGCTGCTGCTCATTGGCTTCACTGCTCCAGTTATGGCTTTCTGTCCAGCTCTGCCCAAATGATAAAGCCAATGAGCCCATTAGCTCCAGGCATAAGGGAAAGAGTCCTCACAGCATGGAAACGGCACATGCAGTGTCCTCACATTGCAGAGGTGACAAAGAAAAGCAGTGGGGAGAGAAAAACTCTCTCCTGTATTCTCCCATGTAGCACTGCTGAAGGTGGCATGATGACTGAGGCACATCTGACTAAAATGAACCTCTTGAAATGGTTTCAGAAGATTCAGAACTGGTGATAAGATGAAACCTGAGCAAGGCTTTACAAATGACTCATTTGTGGATCAGCAGCTGACTACAAAGAAAATGTCACATTTAGCTCTCTCTTTCTTTTGACTGCTTTTGCATCACATTTAGTTTCAGATAATGCACTGTAAATAGTATTCCTCACTGAACTTTTCCAGCCTATCCCAGTAAACCATAGTTTCTGGAGGCAAACATAGGATGATCCATTTATTTTTTTGGTGTATAACCAATTTTCATACATGTACCAGTTTTGTATTAAAAACTCTCTCATACTCTGATACTCTGCTTCATATATCAGGACAAACCGTAGGATAAAGGAAGAACTGAGTCTTGATTTTTCATAAAATATTTCTTCTGCATATGGTATCAGTGCCTAAAATCCTCTGTTTGTGGTAAAGCTGTCACAAAAGAATAGGTGGCCTGTAAAAATGTTTTCCCTGGAAAATGATCACCATCATTACAGAACAATTCTGTTTCTCCTGTTCCCATTGGCAGATTCAGGCTTCATTTGTAGCTCTCTGTGCAGTTTCAGTTTTGCTACATGAATTGTTTATTTTAAATAAGGCTCAGATACAGCCTAATTTACAACTAAATCAGCATGAGAGAGCTCTAAGGCAATCTTGTTGTTCACTCTTGTGATAGAGGCTACTGGCATAATCAGCTGGTGAGCATGTGTTTTGGACATAGCTCCTTCTGGGCCAGTCCACAGAGGTTATGATTTCCTCACAGTCCCCTGCTAAAAATATTGCTTCTTAGTTCAAGCTGTGGCAATTTACGTTTCCAGTTTGGTGGGACCAAAAGTTCAGCCCCAGGGTATCAAATCAGGAGGGTGACTATCGCACAAGCTCATTCAAGCTTC